AAAATAGGCAGCAAATCGTAAAATCATAAACATTTATTGCAGTAATCCGCTCACACGAGGTAAATAAGGAATAACGCAGTATGCAAAAACCAAGATGATGTCACAAGCCTAGACTCCATCCAATGCATTTCCACCACATGGCCATCATCCTTCCCCATAAAAGATCCTGTTCTCTTTGTATTGCTTCATTTGTGTAAAATCCCTGGTGTTCATGCTAGTTCCTCTGTTTTCCTATATAAAAAACTGACCACACTAGGCATGAGAGCATAGCATGGCCAATTTTCTGTGAAAAGTATACCTTTTGGCATCGCTCCTCACTACCACTACCAAGCCACAGTGGGTGGGGCATAGCATATCAGAGGACGTGGCTAGAACTGCAGATGGGGCCATTCCTCAACATTGGACTCCTGGGGTCGGTTGAGCAGTGTCCATCCCTTCACTTGTAATGGCCAGTTTTCTGGCTTTGCCTGCTCTTCTCCAGTGATTAGACTTGTGCTGACATGCCCAGGGGTGGACTGACAACTCATGGGGCCCCCGGGCACTAGGGGATCATGGGGCCCCTGTGTCCTTGCTCAAACTCAAAAAAGCCTATGAAAAAGGTACCAGGGGCATCTCATGGGGCCCCCTACTGACCCCAGGCCCTCGGGCAGTGCCCTAGTTTCCAAATGGTCAGTCTGCCCCTGGACATGCCTCATATACAGTCATTCACTGGGAAGATTTGTTTACTGCTGTTTCTCCTCCCTGAGCTCCCTATGCAGCTGAGAACAGAGAGCATATGATCACTTATAAAAAATTTATACATAAATATTTTGTCTTTTATTTCTGTTTTAAACTTAAGGGGTTGTTTTACAAGCTGAGGGTTTACATATACTTTAATTTGTACACTAAGAGCAGGGAATATTTGCTTTGCATATAGATTTTAATATTTTTCTGCCTTTTGATTTTGTTTTATATTCTGTTTAAAATAGTAAATTGTATTTTTTGTCAAGTTTTTATCACTGCAGAGATTCACAGAAAATGAAGGGAAATTCCTCATTATTATAATTCTCACAGAAACAAAAGGGAAATTTCCCATGGGGACACTTGTTCCTGTTGCTCGTGTCACATCATCTTAACAGGAAGTGATGGGAAATCTACCCAACGGGACACAGGCAGCAAAAAAAATAAATGGATAAGGGCTTTACATACATTTTTAATTACTATTTAATGCTGCATATATTGTAAACTTTCTATCCGTGTTTGACAAAAAATTATCAGTTTATGATACAGTAATGTTCAGGAAGTTAATACCAGTATATTTTACATTTGAAAGGAACACACAATATTATAAAAAACACATATAACATAAACTACATATTAAAAATATATAGGATGAAACCAGCCTATATCCCCGCGCTCAAGAAATGGTGAAAATATTGGTATACAAAAATAAAATAAAAAAATTATTAAACCAGTAATTAAATATATTTAAACCAAGCTGCCGTTTTAAATACAAAACAAATCTATAAACAGTGACTAAAAAAGTACACATAAACTAGCGCTGTTTATGTGTACTTTTTTTAGTCTCTGTTTATTGAACCATAAATGCATATTTGCTTAATAGAGGGCAATTTGCTAGTAATTTAGAATGATTTTTCTATAAAGTGAAACATACTGATGATCCCTCAAGGGTCATATTAGCCATATTAGCATTGATTACTGAAAGTATAAAAGGAATCTTTTACAGGAAATATTTATGGAAAATAATATGTTGGGTTGGCTGATGCTGAATCTCCAGCATCTAAAACATTTCAAATATCAGTAATTCATACAACTCACATATTAAAAATTTAACTGAATGTCAGTGGAATTTTAAATTGCATTTTATTATGGGAAAGTCAACTAAAAGTGAGGGGGCATGTTTTTAAAGCAGTGAATGTTAGGGTTACCATTAAATTAAACCATGGTACTCATTTTGCTCAGAGCTGGAGAATCAGAGGGACCGCAAACTAAGCAGCGATAATTTACCTGTTTAGTAAACTGATCTTTTACTGTAATCTCATGAGATTATAGTAAAATCAGCCGTTTTCCAGCGTTTGTAGACCGCCCTCCCTTCGTTCGGAGAACTGATCTACACCGCTTCATAAAAGGCATCCACAGGAGAACTGTGTTCTCTGAGAATGCCGGAGAACTGAGCAGCGATCATTTACCGCTGGTTCATAAACGGACACCTTAGTGTAGAAAAAAATAGCACTTTTTAATTATATTAACATTAGTTGTTTAAAATGATCACAGGCCAAATTGTTCTTTGACCCATTAAAGAAGAATAATATTACTTACCAGTCTTGTGAGTATTTTCTTTCAGAACGATGGCCACTGATGGTATCCAACCCTTTCAAGTATTTTGTTTGCCATGTTTCATGTTGCGTCATCATTTCACCCACTGGCCATTATGGTGTCCATTTAAGAAAGAGAGAAAAGCAGAGATCCTGATGATCACATCTGATCTCTCAGGTGTGCCAGTTTATGAAGCCGATGTGAGGAGCAGAGAACATTTTCTTCACTTCTCATCACAGGACACACCCTTCTGTCATTCACTTTTACAGAGATGGCCAGTGTTTGAAGGTGAGATCTGCAGATCTTACTGGCCATCTCTTTAAAATATCTCCATCTCAGATTCTCCAGCCCAGAGCTGGAGAATCTTGGTGAGAAGCTGCTGTGATGTGAGGAACCTGTGGGGCTAAACATTGATATAAATTACAACTATATACTGTATGTTTATGTATATATATATATTTGTGCTTTATATATATTGTGTACAGTATATATATATAATATATACACACACACATACTATACATACAGTATAGTTATAGTGTATTGTTATTTTTTGATTGAGTTGAGTTGAAATATTTATGTGCCTTTTGTTGCTTTTTTAACATGTATTTTGGCAAATTTTTACCTCCATTTTTGTGTGTGTTCTGGAAATGCCTGCAAAATGCATTTCATGTTTAACGTGCCATTATTTGTTAATGGCAACCAAAAGTGGCTAGCAGATGTGTAGTTTGCCAAAATATGCATAAAAACCAAATCAAACTGCACTTTAAAAAGTGCCAAAATATGTGCTAAGAAAAGTGCCAAAATGTGTGTTACAAACAACACCAAAATGCATGTTAAAATAACCTGTGCCAAAATAAGTGTTAAAGCGCCTAAATGTGTGTTTAGAAAAGCGCCAAAATGCACATTAAAAAAACCCACATCAAAATGCGTGTGTTAAAAAAAATACAGCATGTTAAAAAGCGGCAAAATGAACTTAAGTATGCTAAAATGCACAATAAAAAGGAACCAAAATACACATTAAAAAAATGTGCCAAAATGTGCGTTAAAAAAATACCAGTGGTCAGTGCTTATTATTTTCATGTAATTACATGGTCTTTTTAACTTTGGTTTCACTGTTTAAACTCAGGTGATCTGTAATCAGACAATTATCTCACGAGATCACATGCAGCCCCTTCCCTTCTACATAGATCTCAGCTGTTCTCAGACAAAAAACTTCTCCTCTCTTGTCCTGAGAACACGGTCTCTGCTTCATAAACAGGGGGACAGAGGAGAAGATTTTTCCCTAAAAACTGCAGAGAACTGAAATGAGATAAATTATCTCTGCTTAATAAAAATACACCATATCACTAATTTGCCTTGTACAGTTTTGGAAGTCTTTGTTGACTTTTTAAGGGCGTAATTTGTAATTCAAAAATTGAAAAAATTGTTTACATACACCAGCACAAAAGATGTTATCGGGCTATTTAACAAATCACTGAATATCCTGGACGGCATGGGTTATTCCACCCTGTAGTATATTTTAAATTAAATTATTAAAAATCATTAGCTTTAATGCAGCATCAATTTTATATACATCCCCAATTATGATTCATATGCACACAATTTGAAAACCCTTCTATTCTTTAATTTATTCCTTTTTCAAATGTAGCTCTAAGAAAAGACAACAGTATTTATCATTTTAAAATATTTTTGTTTTCTTAAAGGAGAAGGTTTTGTGTGATCAGTTTTGATTATGTGAAAAAATGACTTATTCGATTAATTATGCATTTCCTGGGTAAAAAAGTGGCATTGTTATTTATATAGAAGCAAAGCACTCTTTTTTTGTACATGTCATGTAATAATAAGAATATGAAACAGTTAATCTTGAGAACATCGGCAACAGAAAATATGAGTATTCCTCAGCAATTTGTTCTTCTGGGATTGGTGAGCCAACCATATTTCCGCCAAATGTTCTTATTTTTTATATTTTTTAGTTATCTATGTCATGACAGTCATTTTCAATGTCATGATCATCTCTGTAATCCAGCTGGATCCTAATCTTCATAAACCTATGTATTTTTTTCTCAAAAACCTGTCTTTCCTTGAAATTTTCTACATTACAACCAGTGTTCCAAATAGTCTTAAACTTTTTCTACTTAATGACGGAACCATCTCTGTTGTTGGGTGCTTTACCCAGATGTTCTTCTTTGTTGCTCTAGGAGGCACTGAGTGTATCCTCCTCACCATTATGGCATATGATCGATACAATGCAATATGCCAACCCCTGCTCTACTCAAGCTTAATGAACCCATCTTTGTGCTTACATCTCGCTGCAATCTCATGGAGTACAGGAACCCTAAATTCTCTCATCCAAACCTCTTTTGTGGCTGTATTACCTTTCTGCAAAGACACCAAAGTTAGGAATTTTTTCTGTGACCTTCCAGTAGTCCTGAAATCTTGTGGAGGTAATAAACTTGCTGGTTTCCTAGTGCTCCTAATTGGGGAATGCATAATAGCAGGCAGCTTAACATTAACTGTTCTATCCTATATCTGCATTATCAGAGCTGTGCTGAGAGTACCTGGCAAATATACAAGGTTTAAAACCTTTTCTACATGTGGTTCACATCTTACTGTGGTCATATTTTTCTTTGGCACCATCTTGGTTCCATTTATTCATCCAAGCTCTCCTTCATCTTTTGAAATAGATAGAGTACCTTCTGTGATTTACGGTGTTTTAACACCATTAATTAATCCTTTTATTTACAGCATACGAAATAAGGACTTCAAGAAAGCTATAAATAAATTGATGCTACATAGGAACCAGTGACAACCATAAGAGAACAGCACATAAGGTATTAAGAACTAGCCCAGAAAAGAATAATATTTTGCTAAAAAGCTAATGGGGCTTATTTACTAAAACTGTAAAGTGCAAAATCTGGTGCAGCTGTGCATGGCAACCAAACAGCTTGTTCAATTAACCACTTTCCGACCGGGCTATAGCCGAAACACGGCTACAGTGCGGTTGGCTGGTTCTGGGAGGGTGTCTATTGACGTCCTCCCAGAACCCGGCCCACTGCGTGCCAGTCACAGCAGGCCTTTACCATGTGATCAGCTGTGTCCAATCACAGCTGATCACAGTGTGAATAGATTTTCCAGTTATCAGCAGTCTTCTCCTCACACGCTGTGACAAGGGGAAAGAGCCGGTAACCTGGCAATTCTCACGGGAATATCTACACTGATAATCAGTGCCCTGATTATCAGTGCAGCCCCATAAGTGCCAATCAGTGCCCATCAGTGCTGCCTATAAGTACCCATCAGTGCTGCCTATCAGTGCCTTCTCATCAGTTCTGCCTATCAGTGCCCATCAGTGCTGCCTATCAGTGCCCATCAGTGCAGCTTCATTAGTGTTTCATCATGAGTGCCCATCTGTGCAGCCTCATCAGTGCACATCAGTGAAGGAGAAAAATTACTTGCAAAATTTTATAACAAAAAGTAAGTTTTTTTTTTTTCAAAATGTAGATTTTTTTTTGTGTGTTTAGCAAAAAATAAAAAACCCACTTGTGATCAAATAACACCAAAAGAAAACTTCATCTGTTTAAAAAAAAAATGATACAAATGTAATATGGCTACAGTGTTGCATGACTGCACAATTATCATTCAAAGTATGACAACACTGAAAGCTGCAAGCTGGCCTGGGAAGGAATGGGGTGAAAGGGCCCAGTAGGCAAGTGGTTAAGCTTTGACAATAAAACCGGGAAGCTGATTGGTTTCTATGCAGAGCTGCACCAGATTTTGCCTATTCCAGTTTTAGTAAATCAACCTCAATGTCTAATCAACTGACTTTCTACATTTCTAAGAGTCTCTGGTAGTAAAATAGCTGCACTTGTTTTCCCAGGTCTGCCCGCCTCTTGTGGCCTTTATGGGAGGTTTATTATTTCATTGCTAGATGTTTAATACATTTGCATAACAGCCCCACAGTTTATGCCATTGCTGTTCCTTCCTAATAGCAGAAGTCAAATAAGTCCTTATGGAAAAGTGAAAACAAATCTTTACAAAATGATTTAAATTAATAAAAAAAAACACACACACACACACGCAAATTAACTGACAACCTAAGTATACAATTCCTTTAATATGACATTCCACCAATCTTGTTTCATAGTCATAAATCACGTGTGTGCGGTCAAGGCATTTCAAGTGATTGTAGTATAAATAGATTACAGTATAAACATACATTGGGGTTGATTTACTAAAATTGGAGACTGTAAAATCCGGTGCAGCTGTGCACGGCAGCCAATCAGCTACTAACTTTAGCCTGTTCACTTAAGCTTTGACAAAAAAACAAAATGGAAGCTGATTGGTTTCTATGTAGAGTTGCACCAGATTCTACACTTTCTAGTTTTAGTAAATCAACCTTACTGAGTGTATTTGGAAGTTCCAGCCTTTGGATAGTCAGTATTATGGTCAAACCCAGTGTTTCTCAAACCTTTTTACAGTCAAAGAACCCTTTAAAATTATGCACAATCCTGAGACACCCCATTCTAAAATTTTTACAACTATACCTATAGTTTTACATAACACAACAATATCCACACAGGTAGGACACCCAACAGAGGAGATGTATTTTTCCAAAGCAAATATACTTTTGAACACTGGTACTGACCAGTATCTCCTTATCAACCGATGATTTCACTGATTGTTAGGAAACCTGCAGCTAGAAGGTCCTAAGGATTTGTGTAACTAAAAGGCAGGCTTGATCCACCCGCTGGCTTGTATAAAATTTTGGGGCAATCTTTAGGTATTTTGCCAAGGCACCCCTGAAGACACCTGAAGGCACTCCAGGGTGCCTGGGCACCCTGCTTGAAACAGGCAGGTCTAACCTACACAATTAAGGCTTTAGAATACTCCAAGCAATTCTGTAACTGCATTTGAAAGGATTATTTCCATGGGCTTGTTTACACCAGCATTAGCAATCTGTGGTGCATTGCTCTCTGGAGGGCATTTGACAGATGGTGAGGAAACATAATGCACCCTCTCCACCACTTGTTTTAACCTCTAAAAGACCAGCACCACTATGCCGCAACCAAATGCATTAAATACAGTCGCAGCACGGCTCCATTCACTTGAGAGGGGTTATGTTCACAAAGTGACAAAGCATCAGGGCCGCACCATAGGTAAACCTCCATCTGTTACCTTGGAAGCTTAAGTTGAGCAGTTGGGGAGTAGGTTTTACTGCTTTCCCCCAGGCCCAAGTATATGCCTAGCCAAAGTTACTAAACCTTCCATGTAGTACAGTTAAATCAATTATTAAGATGCCACAACCTTTAACCTGCCAAGAATAGGCAATCTAGTAAACGTAAATGGCTGTGCAAGAAGCAGATTAATGAGGGAGGTCATTACAACCACTGTAAAGCAGTTATAGAACTTACTGGCTGAGATTTGAGAGACTTTGCATACAACCATTGTTGTCTGGTGGCTTTACCAGTTACAGCTTTATAGGAGAGTGTAAAATAGAAACCACTCTTAGCTAAATCTCAAAATACATCTCCTCTAACATTTTGCCAGATGCAGGGTGGTGTTTTACTATTTTGCGCAAGACCAGGTACTTGCGCCCCCCCCCCCCCCCAAAAAAAAAAAAAAAAAAACCAAATACAAATTTTTTAAAATATCAGGAAATATTAAATCAACAAAACATGAAACTGATAAATGTTGGGGGGCGTGGCCGGCAGCGGATGGAGACAGCTGCTCTGTGAGAGAACTCCTGGAGCCGTCGAGATCCGCGGGGATTAGCAGCGACGGGGCAGCAGGTAAACCCGCCAATGACACAGTAAGCACTCTGAGTGAGGGGGGGCACACAGGAGGCTCAATGGGGAAATGAAAGAATAAGGAGGGGCCCCGCAAATTAACAGAGTTTTTTAATTCGGCAGGTGGCCCCTCCCCTCAATATGGCACTGATCACTGTCCCTCTCCCAAGCTACAGGGACATGTGAGGGGGGATGGTCACAGCTCTCCCCTGCACACATCCAGCCCAGCAGTGGCTGCAGGCTCTACACTCTCATCCCCTTCCAACAGCCCACAGAAGCATAGACAACGCTGCTCTGCAGATGTGCATTCCCTGAGTGAGCAGCTAAACACAGATTCATTTTCACGTAATACCACCAGTGAATTCATTGAACACCTGGAGGATTACCCCTCAGAGTCCTTACCCCTTACTGCGGCAGTGATGAAGGATATGTTAATTACCCTCAAAGTCTCCCTGCATAAAGATATGATGGGCTTTGTGGCGCAAGTTAATAAGGATGTTGAATGTTTAGGGGAGCGACCCATGCATGTGGAAACTGAAATGGGCAAACTTGCTAAAGCTCACAACGAATTAGTTGACGCACACAACGAGACAGATGTGAGAGCTTTACAGGTGAAATTGGCAGATCTGGAGGACTGCTCTTGCAGGAATAATGTGAAATTCAGGGGCATTGGTGAAAATATACCTGCTGCGGAACTCCGCAAATATATCCAACAAATGATCTCTGTACTGCTACTACATACTCCGCATAGGGAAGTAGTGGTGGATAGGGCCCATAGACTGCCAAAGCCCTCATTTCTCCTGATCACATCCCCAGAGATACAATAGCGAGAATTCACTTTTTCCACGTCAAGGAAGAATGAATGCTATTTGCTTGGAAAAATACTCCACTTCCTGCTCCCTACACTGGGATCTCTTTATTCTCCGATCTTTCACAACATACCATATTAGCCCGCAAAAAACTACTCTCTTTCACGAAATTGCTACTCAGTAATGACATCAAGTACCAGTGGGGTTTCCCTACCAAATTGCTTATCACTAAAGATAACTGTGTGATCACGGTTAACTCTGAAGAAGAGGGATTCCAGTTAGCCAAAAAATGGGGCTTCCTACCAACAGATGAAACGCCAGCGCCTTCTACGGCTTCACCTAGGAAAATAACCCCTTACTGGGAACAGGTAGCAGGATGATGCACCATGTCAGTACTTCTCCATGCCTCCTAATTATTTGTTGCATACCCGCTGTGCACTTGCACAGCAACTTAGTGAGCTGCGTTTCTCGGCTCTGAACCCCCCACCCATAGTGATTAATTTCACACAAAGTTTCACGCTAACTGTTATTTTTGCCTTTTTACAAGTTTTTGCTCCATTTTTCTAACCCTTTTTTCACAAAGCGCCCTGACCAGCAAGTTATGGGATAACCATACATTGACTTCCCTTCAATCTGAGTGGACGACACCTTTTTCCCTTCGCTGGAATACTTTGGTCCGTGTAAACTTACCCATTTGGATTATCTACGCTACTATGCATTCCCCATTTACACCACATGAGGGCAACCTTTCATCATTGTCTCTAAAACCATCATGGTCTTGAAAATTATTTCTATGAACGCCCATAGCCTTAATAGCTCGTTTAAATGCCACTCTATGTGGAGAGAAGCACAACGGTTGGCTGGAGATGTGGTTTGTGTCCAGGAAACTCATTTTGCATCCACTAAAGTGCCACACTGCTCACATCATTTGTTTCCACATATTTTTATGTCCAATGGTCCTGATAAAAAATGTGGTGTTCTTATAGCAGTTTGCAATTCTGTTGCATTCTCGCTGTTAGCCCAAGTGTCGGATAACAATGGTAGTTACCTGATCATTGTGTGCAAAATTAATAATATCACCTACACCATAGTCAACCTCTATGCTCCTAATGTGCACCAGATCCACTTTCTCAACTCTCTATGGAAAAAAGTGGCTAAAATTCAGAAGGGCTTCCTTTTATTCTGTGGAGACTTCAATGCTATTATAAATAATT